GGTGGGGTTTTGGGGGGTTAAAGGTCCACATGTCTTAAAGTTGCTAAGGTTGGGAAACACTGTTCTAGAATAAATATATCTAAGAGATTGGGGGGTTGTGACCCAGCACCTGACCTTTTAACTAGCATGGGACAGACCAAGGTACAGCAGATGAGTCTCCCCTTGGGCTGCTGAATACAACACTGAGCAAGGATTTAATTCAGAGATTTGATTCAAAGCCAATCAACTCTCCTCCTCAAAATAATTTTCCAGCTCAGATCCCTGATTCAGATTGAATTGCCAAATCATATCAGATACATTTTATTTGCCTTGGACCCATCTGAACCATCTTTGCAGACGGGCACTTGGGTTTTTATCATCCAAGTCAGTTTGAAGTGGACTGATTTGGACGATTTGGCCCAAACCGACTGGATGATGCAAATCCAATCCACGATTCTGGTGGAATCAATGTGATTTCAAATCAGATTAGACTACTTTCAGATCTTCCAATGGTGCATTGATCACCACTATAACTGAGTCCCTCCCCCTTGCTGCTGGTCCTCCTCTTCCTCTCTTTCCTTCCACCTTTCCCAGCATTAGAGCTTCTCCAGAGAGCTGGGTCTTCACATCATGTGTCCCAAGTAGGATCATTTGAGCCTGGTCATTGGTCCCTCCAATGAGAACTCTGGGCTGATTTGTTCAATGATCCATTTGTCTGTTTATCATGAATGGGGTGGGGGTGAGGTTTAGAACATTCAAAATAGAGGCTGCTACCAGACGATTGAAGGCCTCCCCTTTTTAATGTGTGTTGAGCATGTGTGGCAGGTAAAAAAGGGGCAGAGCTTCACTTGGACAGCCGTAGCTGCCATCATGACTTTTCGACCCTGTCCTGTGGACATCCCTGCATTCAATGAGTCTGTGGTCACTTTGCTTTAGAGAAGGCAGTGGACAGACAGTGTTTCTGCACAATATCACTGCAGCATGGCAGCGTAGTCTCTCCTCCTTCCCAGTTGTGTCACTACAACAAGTCTCTAACACCTTCCTAGTCTCCAATAACCCAACTTCATACCTGGATGGCAAGAGGCATGAGACGCCCTTCAGATGACAAGTGTAGCAAACACAATGGAGCTGCTATATGCTGAAGACGTCCATTATTCAGCCCCGGACTAATGCCCTCCAAGATGTGGTAATCCGCAATGAAAATCCTTTGCTTCTGTGGAGGCATAGCATGAGAAACTCAGACATGGAAGTGGACTGATGAAATGGCTTCCTTTCCAGGAAGGGGGGGGGTCTCCTAGAAGGGCCCCTTAAAGCATGTAGCACCAGCTTCCTTACATTCAGCTCCTTCTGCAATGTGGTGGAGTCCCCAAGAGATCTGGCTACCATCTCTTGGGTCACAGGAAAATTAGACGGGATCTTGGTGCATAACTGGATGACGTTTGGGTTCAGTCCATTTAAGAATTGGTAGCCAAAGAATTCGTCCCTCTTCCAATGCTCCATGACATGTTCTGGAACAAAGAATATCAAGGGGAGGATTTGGCTGCCGAAAAGATAAGATGGCCTAATAATTTGGAATCCAGTTCAGTATCCCCCTCTCTGGAATCAAAGTTAAACTGGGCAGGTTCCATCAGGGGAATTCACATGCAGGATTCTTGGGTTCTACCACACTGGTAAAACGAAGAAATCTGGGGAGTAATATTTTCAGAGGATATGCTCCACTCAGTTTTCAGAGGGTTCTGAAATAAGCAGAATGAGGATCTGTCAGATGTCACTTCTAATGGGCTTTTAGCTGCTAGCTAGACCACCAGATTACCTGACATCTCTGTCTTGTTAAACCAGAAAACCTTCTTGATGTCCTCCAATTTGTCCCAGGATTCTTGTCTATCAGAATACCCTCTCAGCTTGAGTTCCACTTGCCTAGGAGTAGTAGAAAAGCAGGATTGAGTAGACCATAGTTTCCCTACCTTCAAATATTCCTCCCAATGGGAAGAGCCCATTCCACCAAATGCTTAGATCATCCACCTTGAGAACATGTGGCACAAAGGATGTGCAAGCCACCACAGGGAGACATGGTGAACTACCAACACAGTAGGTCAAACATTCTTGTGACTATGACCCCCATGCAGAAAAGTTCATCTTATTCAAAGCCAACTGAACTGAAGCTACCTCTTTCCTTGTATCATATCATATTATAAGAAGTTCCTCTGCCGGATCATTTGCAAGCCATCCTTTACTGTAACATCCTGCTTTTTAACAGAGGCCAACCAGGTGCTCACAAAGGAAGAAAATAGCCCTCTCCCTATGCTGATAAATATTAATCACTAAATTAATATTTACCCTTAACCTGGAAGTTCAAATTAACTGCAGGTTAAAAGAAAACCCAGAGGTTTGAAGACTTCAATATAACCAAGGAGAAAAATCAGAATAACAAGGTTGATTATAAATGTCCTTCCACTCCTGGGTCTACTACAAACTAAATTCTGTCATGTTCCAGAGCTTCATCTAGACTAGTGTTTTTCAAACTTGGCAACTTTAATATG